AATACCATGAGTGGCAGGTGGCTGAATTTTACGGAGACTTGCCACGGTCTCCAACCCTCCTCTTTTCTCAACCGGGCTTGGGACCGGCCATGGCGGAGTTCTGCTCACTTGCTTACTCAGTTAATTATTTGCCTGCTTAATTATTTAATTGAATGACATGTGTAGTCATTTTCCATCACTATACAAATGAATTGCTCTCAGGGCAACGAAAAATTTGAGCTGTACGCAGCCTAAAAAATTCATATCGATTTATAGATGAAGATGAAGATCCAGATTGACTGGTCGATATGCATCAAAGATTTAAGTGAATAGTCTTTATTTTGAACTCAACGGTTTGGGCAACAACCACATTGTTTTTCATCATACGGAGTTGTACTTTGCACTTCGGTACAGCGTATATTCAGAGCCGAAATATCCTAGATTGAGAAGGTACAGGAGACTGCTCCATGTTTGCTACATAGCTGTAGACTGTACCGTTGAAATACGGCAGTTCTGGCTGATTGAATAGAAACGGATATCAGCTCTGTACCATATGCCACAACTGAATTGCTCCATAATGAGATTGTAAGAGCGGATTACGGTTACAAACATTCTTTTCTTTTTCTTCATTACGTTTTGCCTACAGGTATTTATCCAATAATCTTAATCAGCTGATTACTTGCAACATGAATAGTTTCTAAGACTATTACCGATTCCACATCATGGACGATTGATCATGACCATGCTTTTCGATTCTATGATTAAGGACACGAGGAATCAAAATTAATTTTAATTAACGACCAGCGTTGCGATTGACTAACATCGATTTTCATCAGGTTGCAGTTGTATTTTTTAATAACAGCATATGGCTTATGTTAATACCGTTGAAAATGACTAACGCTGACCATTGCTTCAGGTTTTTAGGACACCGCCATTTTGCGTCTACAGCACTGGGTGGAGGGGGGAGCATTTAGCAAGTTACAGCGTGGTATTTCATCACCTGCAGGATGCAGAACATCGACGGAATGAATAAGATGGGAGTTGACAACGTAGTTGCTGTACGGAGCGTCTGTTTCTAACTGATTGTTGGGCTTCTTTGAAGCTTATAACTTTCAGTGAGACATTAAAAGGATATACAATATAGTATAATCAGTTATGTATAGAAAGAGGCAGTGATTCTTTGCCCGTTTGACAGTTAATGGTTTTCGTTTCCTCATACATGATTCTGGTTAACAATCGTCACAAACAATGCTTCAGTCAGTCAGTCAGTTTCGATTACATCTTATTCTTTCGGGTCGCGCAGGCAGATGCCTCTGTGTCTCCAGCATTCCTAATTCTGTATTAGCATTTTATCTTCTCCAGAAGATAGCCAGAGTCTGAAGCTGAGTTATTGGCCTATGGTATTCATGACCATCCTCGGGGTTTTTGGGCCGGCAATCAGTTGAGTAGTTATTGTCTGTTTCGCCTTCATATATGGAAGTATTCGGAATGAACGATATTAAAATTTTCAATTTAGAATCTAACAGCGAGTCGTTCTGCCCAGAACAACACCTTGCCCCTGATGCCTGACAACGTGATCCTGTGCATCTACGATCTTAGTCTCGGTCTTGCCAGAAGTTTATCGGCCTCTCTGCTTGGTACGTAAATTGTGATGTTCTTGCACGTTACGACCAAAGAAAATCCTGCTTTAGGAACCGAGCTGCGCGGCATCTGGCATACGTCGGTAGTGGTTTACGGCGGTGAATACTACTATGGTGATTCCGGAATATTGTGCAGTCCTCCGGTACGTTTACTTCACCGAAAGTACCGTTCTTGTTACGTCTTTTGTAACTTCTGTTTATCCTCGAAGGCAGAATGTAAATATCGAATTAGCATTCGAGTTATTTTTGTCATGGCAAACATCAGCATTAAAAGTGATGACGAATACATAAATATCATTGCTTTCGTCACTGCATGCCCAAAGCTTGTTGCGCGTGATCCGGTCATAGGCTTTCTTCAGCCGAATAAAACACAGGTAATCCGGTGAGCCGACTC